CCGGCGATGCCCGGCTCTGATGGAATGCCTACTGGAGCATGCGTCCCGGCGAGAAGGAGGGATGTACATGGGATAGGCTCAAGGAGCTGATCCGCGAGAAGTACTACCCCATCTATTACAGAGCAGAGATGGAGCGTCAGTTTCTGTCGCTCAAACAGGGTACTCGTTCTGTTGACGAGAACGAGAGAGAGTTTACCAGACTTGCAGCTTCCGTTCCTGACTTGGTTCGTACGGAGGCCCAGAGAGCACAACGCTTCATTGACGGGCTTTACCCAGCAGTCCGTCATAATATTGTAGGTCACGGGACCCAGATGTACGCTCGTGTCATTTCCATTGCCCAGGAGGTGGACGCTAGCATCAGGAGGGAGGCCATCTGTGATCGTCCTCAGCCATTCGCCCCTGCCCAGTCATCCACAGCTCCACCAGCCCTACCAGCTGCCCAGCCGACGAAGGAAAAGAAGAGGAAGTGGAAGGGCGCACAGACCAACAGGAGGACTCGCCAGAGACAGCAGCAGATTCCACAGTGCCCCACATACGGACGTTTTCACCGAGGCGAGTGTCGCTTCGGCCAGGATATATGCTATTACTGTCAGGAGCCCAGACACTTTGCTAACCGTTGTCCGAAGAAGGCGCAGCAGCCCCAGCAGCTTCAACAGCCACAGCAGCAGCAACAGCCCCGCCAGCAGGCTCGGAGGCCACCCCAGCAGCAGCAGCAGAGGGGCAAATAGCATGCCCCAGTCTACGCAGTCGATCAGGTCGAGGCCGAGCAGCAGCCATGTACTATGTCAGGGATGATCATGCTTAATAATATTCATGTGTTCGCTTTATTGGATACTGGAGCGACACACTCTTTTATTTCACGATGATGCCTTGATGCCATCGGAGTTCATGACGTTACCGCTGTCGATCCTCTCGAGGTAAGTTTAGCCTCGGGACAAAAGATAGTGACCTCAGCTAGAGCTTCAGATCTCAGCCTTTCCATCGGTGGTCGTTCATTGTCTGCAGACGCGTATGTTCTTGAGATGAGGGACTTCGACCTCATTCTCGGGATGGATTGGCTATCCTTTTATCATGCAGATATTCGATGTCATGACCGGGAGATTACTCTCTATCTTCCAGGAGATGAGTCGATTACTTTCTTTGGCAGTAAGAATCGTTCATTGCCTCATGTTGTTTTGATGGCGAAAGCCACCAAGTTGCTGCGACGAGGTAACTGCCAGGGTTATCTGGTGAGCCTTGTCGATGATTCTCAGAAAGCACGTTCACCTCACGATGTCCCAGTTGTTCGTAAGTTTGTGGACGTGTTCCCAGACGAGCTTCCAAGAGGACCGCCTAACCGGCAGGTGGAGTTCTCTATTGATCTCATTCCAGGAGCCGGCCCAGTATCCAAAG